CTGCTGTAAAAAATGCAGCCTGTCTTACGTGTTTGCTCTCCAGATGTTTACATCCAAATAATATTTGCCATTTCACTGTATATTGTCGATGTGGGGAGTCCTAGCTGCTCTTTGACTTGTGCTGGGAAAATATTAAGCCATGCGTGTAAATGCAGTATGTGGAATTATTTTAGAGTTACATAATGTGTAATAAAATTGCAAATCATGATTCATTTTATTTATCTGTCTGCACAAGGTGAGAGGGAATATTTAACTTATCTAATTAGATGCAGATAGGCCACAAGACTTCTCTGAATAAACCAAAGAATGGCTGCCAGCCGACGCTGGTTTTTGAATTCCCAGCAATGGTGGATCTACGGCAGCACCTGCCAGGCTGGGAGCAACGCAGACACAAACAGGATCGTGGAGTAGGCTAATTAACCACCATTAACCAGACTGTAATTAAACACAGAGTAATTCTAGATGTGTTTCACCCCATCACCATCAAGCACAAGTGGTTAATTTTATATACAATTTCCTCACAATCTTTCCTCCCCACCCCATGGCCCAAGCTCACCCAGTGGCTGTCGGCATGCTCAACATCTCCTTGATATTCCAGACATTAAAATTCATGGTTTTTTTTCCACAAATTTCACCCTTGCTGGGAGTTCCTGTTCCTCACCATGGGCCTGGTGCTCATGGCCTCTCGTGCTCCATGGCGGCCATGCCACCACACTCCCCTGCAGGGAGGAGGAGGAAAATGGAGAGAAACAGATGAATCCTGCTCAGTGAGGAGTGTCCCCTGGAGCCCCTTCACTGTGGGGAGACCCTGGGAGGGACACAGCCCTGCAGGTTGAGGGCAGGCCCAGCTGACATTGCCACTCCAGGGGCTGGGCCTGGCAGCTCCCCACAAGACTGGGGTGCAGCCCCTGACCGGGCCTCCCTGCCCCACAGGGCCTCCTGGAGGCCTGAGGGTCCTGGCCTCACCGCCTGGGGTCTCAGAATGGGCCCCAGCTCCACTCTCTCCCCAGGCCACCACCAGCAGCCACCCAGGGAGCAGACCCCAGGCACATGAAGCCATCATGGGGCTTGGGGAGGAAGAGGAGGCACAGGGCACAGCGTGCTGAGGGCTGCTCCCACGGGAGCATGGCAGCCATGAGGCCTATTTTCTTCATGTCCAGAGGCTGTGTGGTCTCTTGTGTAAATACCTCTTGCAGAAATGCAGAACGATTCAATTTCACCCATTAGAAGTATGACAAAAATAACCCATCATCTAAACATTCCCCAGAGAAAGACTCTCAAATATGGTTTTACTGGATTTTTTTCCCTTGTGCTTCTGTATCCTCCGTCTTCAGGAATGGCAAATGGGCATGCTTGCTTGCCTATTTTTTCCTCCTTTAATTCAAAACAATTTAAATACTGGTTAAAGTGTTTGATCTCTGGTTCTGAAGATACTCCATAAGCACTAAGCCACTGGAGAAATAAAGTTGATATAAATTCATGGACAGATATGGGGAACTAATCACATTTCCCTTTATGCTCTCTTGGCTTTAGTATTAAAGGCAGCCTCAAGCTCGGAGGTATCAAAATAGTGTTTTTCTTGATGTATATATCTGGTTTCCTAATCAAATCCTGCAGAAATAAAGCTTTCACTTAAAAAAAAATAATTCTGGACTTTTACCAGTAAAAAACTTCTTGGAGTGACTTTTTGCTTGTCACTACTGTGCTAGGGCTGGTAGAAATAGCTTGGACTGTTAGCTCTCAGCTGCATGATAAGCCTCTAATGAGTTGATTTTCTAGGAGCAGAGCAGGGAATTGCAGCTTGGATCATATTCCTGCTTCAGAGGTGGGATAATGGCTGGGCTGTCCAAGGCAACTGTGGACTGGAAGGCAGACCTTCCTCCAGAGAGCTGTGCTGATGGAAACATTAATGTTTATTGAGCTTGTTGAGTAAATAAAAGCCTTGTTCTGAGCCTGAACTGCCTACACCTCCGTCATACAGCCTGTGCATGATGCTGCTGCCAAGAGCCTTGCTGTGCATCCAGGCCCTATATGGCCCTGCATCATAAATGGTGATTTTCCTTCATTTTATTGCTTATAATTGGAAAGTTGGCCCAGAACTTTCTTCCAAAGAGACTGTAGAGCCCTGTACCCCTTTCACTGCCTTTAGGAAAGGATTTGCCGGTGCTTTGTGCACTGGTGATAAGGCTCAGCACGCTATTTTAGGTTATTATACAGACCTATTCTTATTTCTGGTGTGGCTGGAGCTTTCTGGTTTGGGCGTTTGAGTCTGTGGAATATAAGTGAGATTTTTGTATTTCCATCTCTCCTGACAGTGGAAATAAGTTTCTACAAGGCAACATATTTTTTTAATTATATGTCTGACAGCTACCTCCAGTTCCAGTCTTCCCCATCCATAACACACTCCGGGGAGATTAGCCACGTTGCCAGGCACTGACTTGTAGCTCTTCTTGTATCTGAAGTAACAGACTGTACTTCTAGCATTAGGGAGTGTGCCCAGATACTTGAAGCCTTTCATTTAGTAAAAATTAGCAAAGGCTGCCAGGAGAGAGACAGCAATATATTTGGTATGTCACCGTTAGAAACTCACGGGAGCTCTTCGGTTAATAAGGTGTCTGTCTTCAGGGCACCCAGCGCCATCATCCCTTTGCCTGAAGATGTCTCCATCCACCCCAGAATGCCTTTGGCCATCATCCTGGCTACTCTCATCCCCTCATTTGGATGGGACCCTAGTCCTGTGCCCAAAAGCAGAGATAGAAAAGAGAAATCCACACTTTTAGGAGTGGCCATGGATTTCTGTTCGCCTTTGGTGGAACATTCAAGCCAAACAGTGCTGTGGTGGGTCCATGTGCCAGGCAAGGTGCTGCTGAGAAAGAGGCAAATCCCTTGTGGGACAAGGACCACCAGCCACGTTGGTCTGGAAACACAGCTGCAGTGGGAACACGCAACAGTGAGAGCCCCCCAAGCTGTGGCTTCCCCCTCTGGCACCTCCCAGCTCTTGAATTTGGTAAAAGCAGCACTGGGCACCCTGTCAGCAGCAGGGAAAGCTGTGAAGCTGGCACACTGAGATGTCAATTTGCTGGTATGTCAATTTGCTGGTGACTCAGCGTCTAATTTATCCCATCCACGCGATGTTCCTGCAGGAAAAGCTTATTAATCAGGTCTGTGTTTCCAATGCAGCTCTATGATTTAGGGTCCCCTGTGACTAAAGTTTTGGTGAGATTGAAGTTGTTATGTGCCTCAGTGGCTTCTGGAAAGGGCTGATGGGCTGGGGAGAGGCACCTCAGGCCACGGCAGCACCAAGGGTTCTGCCACCTCCCAGTAACCCGGGAAGCAAAATCCCAGCAGGGCTGAGCACAGGTCAGGGAGTGCTGTGAAAATGGGGCGCTGCTGCAATATCCACAGGAGAAGGCTGGAGCTATGTTGTGCTCAGAGGAGGGGGTTCCTCTGTCCACCCCCTCAGTGCAGTGCCAGCCACTGACCTTCCTGCCTGTCGTCACATCTTCCGTGGCTCAGTCCCTAATTCAGGGCTCCCTGTTGATGCTGGCTCTGGCAGTGGTGGTTTCTATGGCAACGCCAGAGGCGGATGCAGGGATGGCTTCAGACAAGGTACCACCAGCCCAGGTATCCCAGGATATTCCTCCCAAAACACAGGTTAACAGCCATGCAGTGTGTTGGGATGGACCCCGCAGTCACTGTGCCAGGCAGACAGCAGAGGCGATGGGGCAATGACACCAAAAACATCTCGTGAATGCTCCTCTCTGAATCATTTCCAACTTTCCCCCTGCTGGGATGCCCCCAGCAGACAGCACAGCTCGACCCAGCAGTGTGCTAGATGTTGCTGCGCTCTGCAGGGATGCAGCCTCCTGTCTCTCAGGCCCTGCTCCCCATCCAAGGTCCACACCGGCTGTCTTCTTCAAAAGGTCAGGCATCTGCACTTGATATTTACCTGGACCTGCGAGATCTTTCTGGTGCCGTATCATTAAAAGCCAAATTCCTTGCCTGTGTCTGTGAATGCTGCTTTGGGGTACGTGACTCTGCACAGAGCAAAGACCAACGAGGCTCGGGTGAGCCCACAGCACCAGGCAGCTGGGGAGTCACCCCCCCACCAGTCTTGCTGTGCACCCCTAAATATCACCCACAAACACCACTGGTACGGAGCTTACCTTCCCTTCCCAGCATGGAGTTCCTGCCTGGGAGACCTGAATGCAGCTGGATCTGGCTCTCCCAGGCACACTTCATCCTTTGAGACAGAGCTGTGGTGTTGGATGGGGCCCAGGACCCCTGGCATCATTGGGCATCTCATTTAATTTCTCAGCATCTTGGCAGCCCTTGCAATTCCCAGCCCCCTCTTGCACCCCAGGTCGCCGGGCTCTCCCTTGGGATTGGTATTCCTGACAGGCAGCAGCACATCCCTGCCTGAAGCAGGATAACCAGGGATGACTCAGCTCCAATAGGGTAAAATTCCACGTGTTTTCATTTATTCGAGGTGCTATGACACCTCCTAGGCACTGAGCTACAGGGCACCTCTGTGCTACATGAGACATCGACTGGGTCTATGATGACACAGCACTCACTGCTACACACACGGCACGGACATGCCGCCGCACGGACGGGGCCGGATGGGGCGGCGCGGCCAGCAATGGTCCTGTTGCCACCACTGCTGGTCACCATGGCCCTCCCACCAGGCAGGATTTGTCCCCGGGCTCCGCTAAACCGGGAGGAGTTTCTGAATCCTGGCGAGAAACCGTGGCTGCTCCAGTGCCCGGCATCACGGGACAGCGGGTCCCCGGAGCTGGGTCATCCACACGCATGGGTGCGTGCACACCCTGTCCCCGTCTTCAGGCACTTGGTGCTCGGCCGGGGCTGGTCCCCCGGGCTCCGCTCAGGTCTCCGCGCGCAGGCACAAGGCCTCGTCGGCGCCGCTGGGGCCCTGGGCC